TTCTTTGGGTCTTGTGGGGTGACAAATTGTGGTACTTCTTCCTGTGTAGGTGTCAATATTTCTGCTAAATGGCGTTTGTTCGTTGGCTGAATATTTTCACAAGGAATTTGCTGTACATCCTGTGTCGCAATTATCGTTGGATTGTTTTCGGGAATAATGGGTGTACTTGTTATGGGACAGTTGATTGGTGGATTTTGGGAAGATGAATTGGTTGGGCATTTGGATGTGACCTGTTAGTCTACATTTAAAACATATTTGACTATCACAGGAGAGAAAAATGCGGTAAGTTAAACCATCATGGGTTATTTCAATAGATTCAGGGATATCTATATCTTCTGCTATTGTAATGTATACTTGACGCCTGAAGCTGAGGATATGATTGTATTCCGGGTTAGTTGCACCAATTCTCAGAAAAGTTACTGGAGATATTAGGTTCAATCCTAGTTCACGAAGTTCCGTAATTAGGAAGTCGTGGGATAGTAGGACTTATATTGGTTATAACCAACCGATCGAAAGGAGCGATTAGTTTTCGAGCTGCGATAGTTTCTCCATTGATAGTGATGGATCCATGGTCTTTCAACAATTGGTCGACAGTTTCCTTACTACTGAGATACACACAGATTCTATTGTTTGATATTCTCGATGAAAAGAGAATATTTTTTGGGTGAACGATGGGTCCTAGTTGAAGCAGATAGTCTTGGAGTTTCGTATTAGCGACAGTATTGAAAACAATAGCTTGATCTTTGGTAGGAAATTTAACTGGAGTATGCTGGCTTAATGCAGCAGAATATGAACGTGTAGGTTGGTTTGATTGGTTTTGTAGGGTATGAGGGTTGCTTGTGGTAGGATTTTGATTAGGCATATTGTTATCCATCATATTCTATCGAGATTTTCATACTCTCTCGACGCCTGAGTACGGTCCTAACTCCCCAATACTGCGGTTGTGGGACCGTGCTTTTTGCGAGTGTATATATCGTTCACTACTGTTAGCGGTTAATGTAATGATGGAATACTTCAGATAAATACCTCTGTACAAGCTGATTTCGTACTCACTGATGGTGATCTAACTAGTAGAATTATTCTTCTTTGATATGATACACTGTTGAAGTTTTGAAGCGTAATAATAACTGTAATGAATCCAAAAACTTACTGAAACTGATAGCATGAACTGTTAAGCGTATTGCAGTCAGATCCGGACTCCAAAAGCTTATTGTTAAATCATCTGAAAATGGAATTTTTAACAGGTGATGATCGACTATATTGCCAGACATGCGCCAAACTAGGTGACTGTTATGAGGAAACAAGTATAGCTGAGGCATCAGTCGATCTAATAATAACATTGATGATTTTCTAACACGACTCAACCTCTGACGGAAGCAAGGTTCGAAATAGATGAATATTTCAATTTAGCAAACCACTATTATAATATTCATGCAGTCATTGTTCACTGTGGTTCTGGCGTTGAATTTGGTCATTATTACGCTTTGGTCAAAGACTAAACGGACTGGTTTAAGTTTGACGATAGTCGTGTCACGAAGTGTTCTGACGATGTATTGAATCTATTGGAGCCTCTGGAGACACCCTACATTTTGTTTTATGAGAGAGAGAGGATATTGTTAGATCAAGATTTTCAGATGATGTGGTGCTGCAGGTTTTTCCGGGTTTTCCTGCAGCTGAAAAAGCAAATGGGCCACTGGAATCAACGAAGTCGCCCCGGAGCGCCAATTAATTCTTATTGTTGTTTTTATTTTTATCGTTGTTTTATAATTTCACAAATAAATTATTATGAGTGTACCCAGTCACAGGTGTACCCAGTCACAGGAAATGATATTATTACAGAGTATATATGAAATGAATATTAAAAATAATGGAATATAGAAATGTATGAAAGTAAATGCTAAAACAAAGTATACATAAAATATTCATATACGTAGAATATATAACACAAAAAGTTGCAAATCATGCAAGATAGCAGTACTGACGCAAAGATTATTTGTAGTATTATTTAAAGTGTTTGTGTATACATGATACGTTGAGGGAGTCGAAATGAATATAGCAATGTTCACAGATTTTATTGAAGCTACTGCACATGATATTCAATGGTGATCGTAGCATAACATTTGTGCGTGATGCTTCGCAATAGAACTTCATATTGTTTCGACCTTCACTTCTTGGTACTAAGAAATTGATCTCTGGTAAAAGAACTGTCAATATTGTTGTCAAGTAATTTATGCAGGAATTTTATATCCAGGATAACTCTCCTATTTTCCAAAGATGTTATATCAAATCGTGTCAACAAAATATTATGATCGATGCCTCTCGTGGGGTATTGTACATCAACTTTTAGACATGAGTATTTTAGAAAGTTCCTCTGCACGCTCTCAATTGATATTTGTAGTTAAACTGGATTTCATGCCATTTCTGTAAATGAATCCAAGAATCCTATTTGCATTAACAGTCATATTCCTTATATGTGTTGTAAATGTTAATTATCTCGTGTACGCGGTTGATTGCAGTATTGTTGATTGAATAAAATCGTACATTAAAGTTAGATTTTTTGTTGTGAATGATATTATTTTACATTTGGATATGTTCAGTTATAGACGATTATTGTCACGCCAAAGTTTGATTCTAATTCATATTGTACACGTAGGCAGTCAGTAATATTGTCGATTTTATAATATAGTTTCAGGTCGTCTGCCAAAATAATAATAAAAATAAAAGAGGTTCAATATTAGAACCTTGTGGTACCCCAGATATAACTCCGTACTGAGCCGATTTGAAAGATTCGACGAATTGTTTTCTGTTAACTAGATGATTCAATTAGAGTAAGCGTGGAGTCCACGCGAATGAATTCGCGGGGATCTAGTTGCTATTAATATTTCTCTCATTTACAAGATAATTGAGTATATTTTTCTTTTCAGATATACCGGTGACTTCATACAAACCAGCTCTGAAGAAATTTCCCAGCTCCTCTCATCGCTTCTCGAACAACATCGAAGTGGATAACTCCTCCCTAGCAAAATGTACAGAAATGAAGAACATGTGGACGCCTTGTGAGTGTCACCTAGAGTTGTGCATAGGCTGGTACCCCTGCGGTCTAAAATACTGCAAGGGGAAAGGTCAATCGAGAAACTCGGTCATGAGCTACAGGTGCGGCATAAAAACCTGCAAAATATGCCACCTATTCGCGTACTATGTGTCGCAAAAGCAACAGTGTCTCTGGGACGAATGACCTTAGTAAACGGAACTTGTACAGATTTGCATTCTTGCCTTAAATTCGCTTCAAAAGATGGACCAATCTGCCTTAGTGCTATAGAGTAATTATTGTAAATGATTTGATTTTCTTATTCGGGTTGAATGTGTGGACATTACTCAAGTGGATGTTGCAGATGCAGTTGAAAATAGGGAAATCAGGGTTTTGAAGAAAAAGCTTTTGATATAATGAGTTTGAAAATAGAGAGACTAGATTTAGAATCAGAATGAGTTTTACATATTTTGTATTGACTATCTGTGAGAACTAACTTAATGTAATTCGTACCTACTTTTAAGTAAATACATTAATTTCAGTAATAAGTTGAATCACTTCGTATTTTTGCAATATTTGCGGTAGGAAAGTCACTTGCGCTCGTCAAAAGACTGAAGTTATGAAAATATAAGGTGTACCGCGAGGCGTAACTACCAGGGAAAATACTTTTTACAAAAATACAAGAATACGTCAGTTTTGACACAAAACCCATTAAAAAGGGGGTGTTACTCACATTTGTTCAAATAGAAATGCGTGTCGAGAAAATCGCTTCGCTAGTTTTTTTGCAATATGAAAACTTAAGATGTCATCAATAAGTTTTCCAACAAATTCAAAAAATTGAATGGATTTCACCCAAAAATGTATTATTCAGGTAGAAGCTGGAACAGTTGTCCACCAAAACTTGAAAGAGGGACACCTCCATGAAATTTGCATCTTTTCTCCCTGATTTCAAAAAATTTAATTTTGAATTTTCAAAAAACTGTAGGTAGGTACTTTGAGACTGAATATAATTTTTTTTACAAAAACCAAGGTCTGCTTCAAATATTTTTATAGTTTGAAATACAAAAAATCATATTAGCGTTTTTTTAGGAAACATTTAAAATCACCATTGGACTGAGTACCCTCTCAAATGGTGGTATACCAGATTTCATCAAAAATATTCAATACCAATACTTCTGTGGTCGAATTAACATTCACATTATTTTATGATAGAATGTTAACTGCACGCCTCTTAATGGTTTCTGAATCTTGGTGAGTTGGCCGTGAAACACCGTGCAGATATGCAAAATCGCGGTCTTTCCATCTGGCACTGGAAACAAAGGACTATTGTTTATCATTATTGCTGCTGTCAAAAATTGTAACCCGTAACAATAACATTTACAGATTATGCCCGATTAGTAAAACAATTATTTTGCAAAGCGGTAGGAATTAGTGATTTATCATGGCAGAACTAAGTGTGCGAGATAAAATCGAACTTGTGCGCCTTGTCGGAGATAATGCTCTTTCGGCAGAAGAAGCAGGTTGTGTATCGAGGCATATGCTCAAAAACATAAACAATCAACATCGTGAGAATAGAAATGGTGTGCAAATATTACAATATTTCCGTAATAATCCTCATTCAACCTTGCGAACGGCTAGTATGAACTTGAATATCCCTACAGAAAATATCAAGAGATGCCTTTTAGAAAATAAAATCATACCATTCAAGCCAAAAATTTCAAACACTCTGGAACCGGGAGATGAAGAAAGAAGGTTAAAATTTTGTTTGTGGGATGTCCGCTACAGATTTCAGTTGAGTCAGTTGGAGTGAAACGCACTTCATTTTTTATTTGTCTTCAAAATAAATAATCTAATGGACTTAAATCAGATGACCGAGAAGGCCAGCAACCTCGAAACCTTTCACACATTGCACACATTTTGTGAGTAACGTGGAAACATTTTTCTCTCTTCAATGTATATAGAATCCATTATCTATGAAATTAGATGAGCTGGATCGATAGCATTTTTGAGTGAATTCGGGTGCGTATCACGTATTGAATTACCAAGTAGAAAAAAAACAGAGATGAGAAGTTCCAGAGTGCTATCACACATCTTCAATTTTTGAGACTTTTGTGAGACATGTGTGTCTCAAGAATTCTTTAGATTCACATTCTCTCCCATGTTTTCTTCACATAAGAACTTTTTGGAGCGTAAGACCTCGTTAATTTTTAGCTCGCATTAGTTTCGAATTCTGAGGGTTGTCGTTCGTAGGGGTAAACGGAAAAACATATTTTTTTTAAACAGAATAAATGTTTTGTTTTCAAATCAACAATTTTTTCTTTGCTCAATTTATTAATCGGTTTTTCTGAAATTTTTTCCAGTTTTTTGAAAGCTCCTTCGAAATAATTTCCGTTGCCCCTTTCTGTCAGAATTTTTTCAGTGCTGAAATGGTACCATCAATCGTATCTGCTAATCGATATGGAAAAGCATGTGAATAATACCCAAGTATTTTTTTCTTTTCTCCGACCATTGATGACATCATAAAGAATAGAATAGTGTGTTTCGATATACCAAAGTTACAACTAAAGGACAATAACATAATGAAATTTCAAAACACTATATATTACTTTCGTAGGGAGGCGACAACTGGTTAACGGAAAAACATAATTCAACAGAATTTTAACAAAGTTTTAACAGAGATATTCAACTAAACAAAGTTGTTTTAGAGGTTCATTGCCGTATTTGCATCATTTAACAAGATATAAGTAATGAAGAATAGTTTTATGAACATATTGTCAAAACAGCTAATCAGTAATAACTCTACAAGTTCGATCTTCAACTTATTTCTAAGTTCAAATAATCTTTCATACCAACGATCTGAATGTCCATCATCATTTGTATGTTTCTCAACAAATCAAGCGGTCGCCATCGGCATCGTATAGTGAAATGTTATGGAAATTCAAAAAGAAATATGTAAAAAAATGTTTTATGTTGAACGGTTTCATTGAGAAAAATATTGAAAACTGAAAAATAATTCGGAAGTTCCTGTGTAGCAGTCATTACACCACTTCCTCAGTATCTACGGTATTGATCAGATAAAAAAAATAATAAAATCGTTGGGGGTAGTATTTTAATATTTACTCATGTTACGCTACGCCTAACGATTTTATTATTGTTTATCTGATCAATAACGTAAATTGCAGAGGAGAGTGGTGTGATGACTGTTACATAGGACCTTCCGAATTATTTTTTAATTTTTTAGTTTTCAGTACCAAATTAACAATGAATTTTTTTATTTAATATATTTTCAAGTTTTTCATTTCTAATTTTCATCCACCCTAATGCCACGCAGTTCTTGGCAAATTTTAATGTTACCTTAATCTGGGTGGTGTATCGCTAACGACGGATCATTTTAGCCACTCTAACGTCCTCCAAACGATACAAAATCTTGACTTGGGTGGAAGATCCATGCTTCTATTCCAATTCTGAGTTGACAAAGTTCTCTGTATTCCGCCATTTTGTAGGTTAGGTTAGGTCAAAAGTGAGTGGGTCTATTCGACCCTCCACCGCAACCCGCAAGGGTTTATTGTAGACACCTTTTATCAAAAAGTCTGAAGTTGAATCTCTGTGAAACACTTATTTTTTCAATATTAGCTTACTGCGATTGTATCTACGGACTCGCCTTACAACAATTAGATGTGATGCGACTCCAGCGAATACAAAATAGTTGTGTCAGATTTTCCTACGGTATCCGAAAGAATGATCACATAAGTCCGTCCTTTCGAAATTCTGGCTGGCTTTCACTCAAATATCTAAAAGCAATCCATGTGCTTAGTTTCACGCATAGAATTCTTGTTTCGGGATATCCGCCTTACTTACGTGAAAGACTAGTTGCACTATCACACAGTGGCACTTCTCGTAATAAGGTTAACTGGTTACCATTATCATTCTAATGTAGTAGGTATAATAAATTTGAATACGGCAGAGTTGTTTTTCCCGAAGAAAGGCACCAAAATTGGTTTATCATACTAAACACTTTTCCTATTCAAATTCAAAGAGTGATAGTCACCGAGGATCGGATGAGTATGTGTGATCGTTGAGGTTATGATAGAAAGATGTCCCCCATGAATTGAAAATTGAGTTATTTTTTTCAGTTGTTCTCAACAAATGTGTCTTGAACTTTCGTTTTCGACAAATTTCTTTATTCTGATTGTAAACGTTATCTGACGGAAAAAAATATTTTGAATTTTCTTTATATTTTGAGCATTAAAGTTTCCTGACTTATGTTTGTGATTGTCTCTTCCACAATATCTCTGAAAAACATCAGACTCTTTTGACGTATGAATAGACTGATCCATTATTCGATGAGAAGCTGAATAAAACCGTTTAATAATGAGGGAATCATATTTTATTATATTTGTCTGTTTATGATTATTTTCGAAATGGAAGTTAATGAAGGAAGGAATTTTTTTTTATATTCAACTCAACAAACAATTGAGTGAATCGTAAAATAGTTTATTATTCAACGAGCGTATAATAATGGCTATTATTTACGAGGTGAAGTTTACGGTCACGAGCCGCAGGCGAGTGGCCTAAATAATAGTCACTATTCGCGAGTAGAATACTATACTTTATCCACGACTAATAAAAATTATCGTATATATCATAATAATTGACACAAAAATCTTTGTATTGAGCTCAACAAATATCACGAATTTAATCTTATAAGATAATATTTATGTCACCAAATATTCTGGCAATATCTTGAATATATTGGAGCCTCTGGAGATACCCTACATATTATTTTTTGAAAGAGAGGACAAATCAAGATCTTTAGATGAAGTGGTGCTGCAGGTTTCTTCGGGTTTTCCTGGAGCTGAAAAAGCAAAGGCGCTACTGAAATCAATCAAGTGGCTCTGAAGCGCCCATTAATTTTTGTATTCCTACATCAGTTTTAGACATTCCAATACTTTTAATTTTCATAAAGTTTTAATTGAAAAAAAATTATAAACTCTTCACTTTCATTGTCTCATCTTGTTTACAGAAAGTTTCTTTTTTGTTTCTGGTCCGGTATTTGATAAAAATCAATATCACTATCCATAATAATAATTACACAATTTTTACACCTTTTTCAACACTCTAACTTCCTTGGTGGTAATGAATATTACGAACTGGTCTACAAACAAGTTAGGTACCTACCTAACTCCTCTTTGGCCTGGCATTTCATAGAACTTTGCATCAACGGATTTTGCACCATTTTCATGAGTCGATTCTGTTATTGCATTAGCAAGATTGGACCTTGAAAGAGTTCCCGCATACTATTGGGGATTGGGAATAGATGAATGTGTAACTGTCCATTTCAAAAGAGTATAATGCCGGAAGCACGCTAAAGATGTAGAGGTCGTAGATAGAAACATGTGAAGATCCGAAACTGATGCATATTCATGGTAGTTTGCCTAATCGTCTATTTCACTGGACGACTGGGAGAGTATGTGCTTTTGTGTCTGGAGTATTCATATAACGCANGAAAAAATATTTAGTAACGGAGAGTTACTCATTTCCATCATTCAGTAAA